ATACAACATACCAGAATCTCTGGGACACATTTAAAGCAGTGTGTAGAGGGAAATTTATAGCACTAAATGCCCACAAGAGAAAGCAGGAAAGATCTAAATTGACACTCTAACATCACAATTAAAAGAACTAGAGAAGCAAGAGCAAACACATTTGAAAGCTAGCAGAAGGCAAGAAATAACTAAGATCAGAGCAGAACTGAAGGAGATAGAAACACAAAAAACCCTCCAAAAAATCAATGAATCCAGGAGTTGGTTTTTTGAAAAGATCAACAAAATTGACAGACCGCTAGCAAGACTAATAAAGAAGAAAAGAGAGAAGAATCAAATTGACGCAATAAAAAATGATAAAGGGGATATCACCACCGACCCCACAGAAATACAAACTACCATCAGAGAATACTACAAACACCTCTATGCAAATAAACTGGAAAATCTAGAAGAAATGGATAATTTCCTGGACACTTACACTCTTCCGAGACTAAACCAGGAAGAAGTTGAATCCCTGAATAGACCAATAGCAGGCTCTGAAATTGAGGCAATAATTAATAGCCTACCAACCAAAAAAAGTCCAGGACCAGATGGATTCACAGCTGAATTCTACCAGAGGTACAAGGAGGAGTTGGTACCATTCCTTCTGAAACTATTCCAATCAATAGAAAAAGAGGGAATCCTCCCTAACTCATTTTATGAGGCCAACATCATCCTGTACCAAAGCCTGGCAGAGACACAACAAAAAAAGAGAATTTTAGACCAATATCCCTGATGAACATCGATGCAAAAATCCTCAATAAAATACTGGCAAACCGGATTCAGCAACACATCAAAATGTTTATCCACCATGATCAAGTGGGCTTCATCCCTGGGATGCAAGGCTGGTTCAACATTCGCAAATCAATAAACATAATCCAGCATATAAACAGAAGCAAAGACAAGAACCACATGATTACCTCAATAGATGCAGAAAAGGCTTTTGACAAAATTCAACAGCCCTTCATGCTAAAAACGCTCAATAAATTCGGTATTGATGGAACGTACCTCAAAATAATAAGAGCTATTTATGACAAACCCACAGCCAATATCATACTGAACGGGCAAAAACTGGAAAAATTCCCTTTGAAAACTGGCACAAGACAGGGATGCCCTCTCTCACCACTCCTATTCAACATAGTGTTGGAAGTTCTGGCTAGGGCAATCAGGCAAGAGAAAGAAATCAAGGGTATTCAGTTAGGAAAGGAAGAAGTCAAATTGTCCCTGTTTGCAGATGACATGATTGTATATTTAGAAAATCCCATTATCTCAGCCCAAAATCTCCTTAAGCTGATAAGCAACTTCAGCAAAGTCTCAGGATACAAAATTAATGTGCAAAATCACAAGCATTCTTATATACCAGTAACAGACAGAGAGCCAAATCATGAATGAACTTCCATTCACAATTGCTTCAAAGAGAATAAAATACCTAGGAATCCAACTTACAAGGGATGTAAAGGACCTCTTCAAGGAGAACTACAAACCACTGCTCAGTGAAATAAAAGAGGACACAAACAAATGGAAGAACATACCATGCTCATGGATAGGAAGAATCAATATCGTGAAAATGGCCATACTGCCCAAGGTTATTTATAGATTCAATGCCATCCCCATCAAGCTACCAATGAGTTTCTTCACAGAATTGGAAAAAACTGCTTTAAAGTTCATATGGAACCAAAAAAGAGCACGCATCTCCAAGACAATCCTAAGTCAAAAGAACAAAGCTGGAGGCATCACGCTACCTGACTTCAAACTATACTACAAGGCTACAGTAACCAAAACAGCATGGTACAGGTACCAAAACAGAGATATAGACCAATGGAACAGAACAGAGTCCTCAGAAATAATACCACACATCTACAGCCATCTGATCTTTGATAAACCTGAGAAAAACAAGAAATGGGGAAAGGGTTCCCTATTTAATAAATGGTGCTGGGAAAATTGGCTAGCCATAAGTAGAAAGTTGAAACTGGATCCTTTCCTTACTCCTTAAACGAAAATTAATTCAAGATGGATTAGAGACTTAAATGTTAGACCTAATACCATAAAAATCCTAGAAGAAAACCTAGGTAGTACCATTCAGGACATAGGCATGGGCAAAGACTTCATGTCTAAAACACCAAAAGCAACGGCAGCAAAAGCCAAAATTGACAAATGGGATCTCATTAAACTAAAGAGCTTCTGCACAGCAAAAGAAACTACCATCAGAGTGAACAAGAAACCTACAGAATGGGAGAAAATTTTTGCAATCTATTCATCTGACAAAGGGCTAATATCCAGAACCTACAAAGAACTCAAGCAAATGTACAAGAAAAAAACAAAGAACCCCATCAAAAAGTGGGCAAAGGATATGAACAGACATTTCTCAAAAGAAGACATTCATACAGCCAACAGACACATGAAAAAATGCTCATCATCACTGGCCATCAGAGAAATGCAAATCAAAACCACAATGAGATACCATCTCACACCAGTGAGAATGGCGATCATTAAAAAGTCAGGAAACAACAGGTGCTGCAGAGGATGTGGAGAAATAGGAACACTTTTACACTGTTGGTGGGAGTGTAAACTAGTTCAACCATTATGGTAAACAGTATGGTGATTCCTCAAGGATCTAGAACTAGATGTACCATATGACCCAGCCATCCCATTACTGGGTATATACCCAAAGGATTATAAATCATGCTGCTATAAAGACACATGCACACGTATGTTTATTGCGGCACTATTCACAATAGCAAAGACTTGGAATCAACCCAAATGTCCATCAGTGAAAGACTGGATTAAGAAAATGTGGCACATATACACCATGGAATACTATGCAGCCATAAAAAAGGATGAGTTTGTGTCCTTTGTAGGGACATGGATGCAGCTGGAAACCATCATTCTTAGCAAACTATCACAAGAACAGAAAACCAAACACCGCATGTTCTCACTCATAGGTGGGAACTGAACAATGAGATCACTTGGACTCGGGAAGGGGAACATCACACACTGGGGCCTATCATGGGGAGGGGGGAGGGGGGAGGGATTGCATTGGGAGTTATATGTGATGTAAATGACGAGTTGATGAGTGCTGACGAGTTGATGGGTACAGCACACCAACATGGCACAAGTATACATATGTAACAAACCTGCACGTTATGCACATGTACCCTAGAACTCAAAGTATAATAAAAAAATAAAAAATAAAAAAAAAAATAACCATAAAAATGGACAACCACCAGCCCTCGGGGCTGCTCTACCTATGGAGTAGCCATTCTTCATTCCTCTACTTACTTAATAAACTTTCTTTCACTTTATGGATTGAGAATTCTTTCTTGCATGAGATCCAAGAACCCTCTCTTGGGGTCTGGATCGGGACCCCTTTTCCAGTAACAGATGTGCTTTAGCTAGCAAAACCTTCTTAGTGTTTTTCTAACAGCCACTGAACAGACTATAGTGCATTCTGAGTGTATGAAGACCCTCAGATGGCCCAACAATCTCTACAGCCTCATCTTTCTTTAGCCATCCTCTCCTTTAGCACCAAAACATTTCCTCTCGGTTCCTTACACCTCCCAGCCTTTGCAAATGCTCTTCCTGAAACCTGGATGCTTTCCTACCCCAGCATTCCACCAATACGACATAAAACCACAATTCAAAAGTCCTGTTTGCATGGGCTTTCTTGAAATAAGCAAGAAATCGCTTCTCTGTGCTTTTAGTATTTTGTTCTTATCTGTCATTACATATTAAAATTATCTGCTTATTTATCTATACCAAATCATAAAATTCTAAGGGAAGGCAGTGTGCCATATTCAGGTCTGGGCCACTGAGCAGCTTAATTTATGTGATACAGATAACTGCAATATAAGACACAGTGCCTAAATCATACCAGGCACTCAAAATGTGTTGAATGAATGTTGAGTTTTTGAAATGAAGTCAACAAAGACATTTAGTACAAGTCAGGGAACCTATGAATAGTCCAGAAATATCTGTATTCCTATGGTGAAAGGCAGTACAGTATAACGGACTGGATCGTAGGCTTTGGAACTAGTCTTGAGTTCAAGTCTCGGCTCTGCTACTCGCGGTGTAACCTGGGGTACTTTATTAACATCATATACCTTAGTTATCACACTTACAAACACAGAGGGCGTAAGTGGATTATTACATGTAAAATGCTTAGAGTAGTGCTTGGCACATTGTAAGAACTTAACAAATGTCATTAGTGTTGTTTTTGTAACATACAACATGCAATGCTGGTTTCGCTCTCAAGAAACCAACAACCAACTTGGGAGAAGTTAGGGGAAATGACAAGAACCTGTTAAAGATGTGACATAAAGCAGAAAGTTAGGTATTAAATGTCAAACAACTAAATACTGATAAACAATCTGGATGACTAATAAAACTACACCCATCTGTTTAGGTTCAGCTGTTTGTTAGAAAACAAAAGAACAAAAGGCAGCTATAATACTAGACTGAGCCATATGAAATTTCTTATAGGTCAAAGATATATTAGCATTTTTATATGGCTCAACTTAACACTTTCCAGTTACACCTTGCTCAAGACAAGTGAAGGGACGCTCTCTAGATTTATATGAGAGAGAAATAATTAGGTTTACTGTACAACAGCAGAAAAAAAAGGAATTCTGCCTCCAAAGCATCTTTGGAAGACACCTAATTCAACTTCATGGAACTTTAAAAATGAAAATTAAATGTCTAGAAGAGAAAAGTATTTTGAAGACAATAACTAGGAATGTTAACTTTGTTTTAAATAAATGAATTCAGAAAAATCTTGATTGTCTCTCTTGTCCCTTGTATAAAATTATAGGTATTATAGCTATCATCTGTGATCTCTGGCCAAAAAACAATTATGTCCTTATTTCTCTGAGTTCAGGCCCACGGTAAAGACATTAAACTTATACTTACCATTTCATGTTTTTCTAAATAAATGAACTTTAGAGACATCAACTTGCAAAGGAGCACATCAAACTTACTGTTACTCAAATTTTTCTTTAATAAAGACAAAGGAATTATTTAACAATTTTTGCACAACTATACTTAACTGACAAAGATGATTTGTTTAGGATCTTAAGGATAGCAAAGATATAAGCTAAGAGGGTACCACCAGGAAAAAAGACAAATACATTCTATCACTAGAAAACGCTTCAAGACAAAAATATTAATTCAATAAGAAAATATTTCATTTTTTTTTTTTATCACAGAGACTATTAAATTAACTCATTTCTGTAATCCAGTTACGTGGCATACATTCCTGTTTCTAGTTTCTCATGCAAAAGGTTGGAAAGTTTTTCTCAAAACAGAGCAAGTCACCACTAATGGTTTCAAGTCAGGGCTGGGAGTCAGCCTAGAAGAGCATGCTCAGAAGGCCATTTACACTTACCTGACCCCAGCCTGATGCTCTCCCCATCCAAAAGAGTTCAATTAATTTCTATTACTAATGAATTATCTCTTATACTTAATAGACATATACATGACTACAAATGTACCTATAAATTAACAGGATATCATTCAGTGTGGAGGAGAGCAGCTGGAACCTAATGACACCCTGGAGGTCTCTTGGTTACTCTTTTTAGAAAATAGAAAAAAACCTGCCTCCTTCCAGGTAATACATAAAAATAACACTTTAACACAAAGTGTTCATCCTGCCTGTATGCTTCCCTTAAAATGCCGTGTGAGCAACTCAGAATTAAATAAAATTAGGACATAAGAATTAACAAGTACACCTAAAACAGACAAGAAGTGTAAGTAAGGACTGCTTCCTGTAATCCTAACCATATTGTTTCATGGATAATTTGCAGAACATTAAAAATACAATAAATACTATAATGGAAATATAGGGATTCATTTATTACTTTTTGGTTTACAAACAAAGGCACACAATAATGCTTCTATTTCCTTCTTATAAAAGATTATCAATTTACATTAAAAAAAACCCCACAAAACAAAAAATCCCAAGTTAATTCCTACAGACAACACAAAAAAAGGGGGAAAAGGAAATTCTTTTCCCTGCTTTCAAGCTTTATTACACAGGTTCAAAATGATTATTTTATGCCATCCTTAAGTCAAAGAACGTACTGCCCATGCTTCTCTGCACTGAATCTTAGGACATGTTAATGTTGTCAAGTCAAATTTAAATACAGTCTCAATGACATCACAATTTACAAATGCGTATTCCAGGATTAAAACTGAATGGGGGGGAAACCCCAAATGTTTTATAATACAGTTTAATCAAATGAGTTAAATGAAATAAGAAACATTTAATTTAGTAGGCTATCCTGTTAAATAACAAGTTTGTGTAGGAAACATAATCAAACAGAACTAAAAATCACATCTAGTAAATGACACAAATGACTTCTCAAATCTTTAAGTCTGACTTAAGTTCAAAGTCTAGTTGGTGGGGATTAACAATCTATATACTCTTTATACTAATCTTAGAACTTTAAATTCTAGAATGGCAAACCAATTTATTCATTAGTTTTCTTTTGACCACAGAATTCTAAACACACAAAATTAATGCAGCGGCCTCAGCACCCTCCCAGTTAACATTTCTTTAAGCTAGATTACAAAAACAATAAAACAGTTCAGAAGACATACACTCCCTATGCACTTCACAGGCCTGCCCAAGTTGTCCCCAACTCTTTTGCAAGACACAAAGACAATTCATCTGATTCTAAGTCTATTCGGCAAAAGTATAAAAATCATACAAACGTCAGCATGTTTTCAACACATTATGGAAATACATTTGGAGAGATGGAGTACTCAATGTATATTATGTGGACCACTTTAAATAAAAGGCATCATTATTTATTCCATTTTCAGACAATGTCATGGTCTCTTATACCTTTATATAAGGTATGGTCCTAGACCAGAGACTTTAGTATCATTCCAAAGAATATAGAGATATTTATATACATATTTCTTTTAAAATAATATTTAAAAGTTTTACTACACAAAATCTGGCTTCAACATGGAAGCATTTTTCCTTTTCAAGATTATACACCTGCATGAAAGTAGGTGATTTCCTTTACATTTAGTTTTTCATAATAGCAAAATAAACTTCTTATACATTGCATTTAAATTGACAAAGAAAGTTAAGATGTAAAGCTCCATGTAACTTTTTGTATTGTCAACTGTTGTCTTTAAACATACTCCAGATACACTGTTGATTATTTAATATAGTACAACTTGATCAACTTAATTAGAAGTGTTATGCTAAACAATTTGTTAAATCAAATGTATGTTAAAACAGTAAGTAGAGTTAACTATTATGATTAAAAGGGAATTTTAATGTATCATTAAAATATACATCAATTTTCTTGCTATTACTTGTTTCTATATTGCATTTCTTTCTAAAGCTAAAACCACATGCATAAAAAATAAATGATACCTTCAAACTCATTCAACAGTTTGCTACCTTATGTGGTATGTAAATAAAGTCCTTTATTTAATTTCATACACATTATCTGAAGCATTATTTTATTTTTCGTGAAGGAATTCAACTTTCAAGGTCAAAATTAGTATGTGTTTACACACGAGGACATTTTCTTAACGTTATTACTACCTGCAAATACATTCTTCCATAATAATGCACTTTCAGTTTTCATTGGAAAGATAGCACAAGCCTTTTAAAAGTCCTAAGAATAAAATTTATAAAGGAGGAGAACACAAGTATGGTGAATCCCTCCCAACTCCCACTTCCAACAAAGTCTCAAGAAATCCTCCTGCTTCAAAACATACACGCAATCTTATAGGATTTTTATTTGATCATAATGTGGACAAGAAAACTGTATTCCTATTCTTTTTGATACTAACAGTTTTACTGAATTTGTTTTCACTTTCTGTCAAAAAACACGTAGCATATGTTGTTGATATGGATTCTCAAACCCGTTTAGATGCAATAGGGTCATTAGAATAATATAGCCTTCTGATTTTAAAAGCAACTGATTGCTAATTGAAAAACGATATGCATCAGACATTTAATCAGAAAAAGAAAAATGAAGACATGTCTTTCATGTTTGATATCATTTAACTTACAGAATGATGTGAAAATAGGTTGGTTATAATTTTAACAAAACTAAAACCCACTTCAACTAATGAAAAAAATCAAACAATGAAGAATCAAATATCTACCAACTTAGCTAGTATTACTGTCCAAATAAATGTCTTCCATTGCACTGAACATTAGAATTAGAAATTCACTATATGTTAAGGCATATTTTAATTAATATGTTCCAGAATTGCACAGTTATACTGGTCAGTGTTCCTATTTCCCCACTCTTGCCCTCAGCCCATCCCTTTCTTCTAGGGCTCAAAATATTAAGTCATGGTTTTGGTGGCTATTGTAGATTTGAGCTGGCATAACACAGTGCGTTCACTAAGTTTTATGAGCATAAACATTAAAATGTTACATAAAATGTATCATAATTTACTTAGCACTCTGATCTAAGATGGTTTAATGTCTTGACAAAAGGTGAGATGACTTAAGTACATTTTACATTTTGTGCATTTAGATCACCACATGTATAGATGTTCTAATGCTGAATTCTTGGTCTTCAGTATCTCATAGTGCTGGATGCTCGGAAGTATGACAGAAACTTGTAACACAGACTAACCACAAAGTACCAGATGTTTCTTGCCATTTGTGATCTTGCAATAAAAATGCGCCAGATGAGGATCACAAGGATAGTATTAAAACCATAACGTATATTCCGCAACCTGGAAAGCAAATCAAGAGATATGTTTCTATTTTCTAGAATAAAGTATTGTTAGATGGCAGCTAATTAATACTGAGTTTCTAAATCAAAGCTCAAATCCGTATTAATTTGAAACTTATGCTAGACATTAAGCATACTGTAAATAAAACAGATACGTTCCTTGAATTTCTAGAGCTTCCCATCTAATCTAAAAAGGTTCATTCATTACATACATCACAGTACGGACAAAATAGAGCAAAGTTTTTTTTTTGACATCTTTAGTTGCTTACAAGTTGTCAGACAAGTAACTTACTCCTTCAGTTACAGCTGACAGTCATAAGATCACAGGCCAACCGGACAAGCCCTCATCCAAGTATAAAACATGGCATTAACTCGATAAAGGAGGATCTTCCCTTTTCTCAAAGAGTAACAACATATTACTCAGCTCATGTTTCAACAAATTTTGATGTCTCTGATGGTGTTTCAAAGAAATACAAACCTTTAGATATGTAATAATGCTACATAAATTATACTCACTTCAGCAGGCAGTGCAAGATAGGACTGCAATGCAAGAAAAACGATGTAGAGAAAAAAGCTTCGAATAAGGAGTCAAAGATCAATATTCTAGTTTGCTTTGCCACTCAATACAATATGGCCTAGGCAAATACAACTTTCCTAAGCCTCAATTTCCTCATCTATTGAACTGGCTGCCCTGCAAAGTCTCACAGAGTTATGAGGCATGAGAGGGATAAAAATGTGAAAGTCTTAAAAAGTGTCATAAAAATCATATTAAAAAGCACTACAAATATAAGAGATTACCATTAAAAATTATCTGCATCTTTGAACAATAGATTACCAGTGATTTTTCCTCTTCTATTTTCTGAGTATTAAAAAAAAAACAGTATGTGTTACTTGTATAAAGAGATAAAGATACAGCTCTATTTTATGTAAGAAAAAATATTCTATGTTGAATAATGTATTCTCTTCTCTTCCTCCAAAGATTATTGAGGATTAAAATAAAAAAACAAACCTTTAAAATAGATTATCTACATTTTCTTTCTTCTAATATCTTTACTTTTTAAGTAGCAATATAAAGAAAGATAATAGTAATTTCCAAAACTCAATTCCACCTGAACTTCATACTAAGAAAGATATAAACTGAAGACAGTAAGTTTCAACAATCTTAGGCTAAAGTAATACTACCACAGTTCCAGTCCAAAGGTAAGTAATTTTCCTTAATATAATAGATTAGCAATATCTTTTATTCAATATACCAGTTTACCAAAAAAATTGTGAAATATTTAATAAGGAAGACAAGAAGCAATCAAATCCATGCATCAAACTCACTTGTTCAGATGTTTTCTGGCTGCAGGGAGGCCAGACATTTCTTCATTCAATACGTACTTCTTAGTTCCCAAGCAGTAGTTCTCTATATATTCTGCCCAATGTAACTGCCGTACATCAATATTGAAGGTCTACGTTAACAAAAAAATTACTGATTATTTTCTTGACTAATTTTTCTCACAACCAGTCAGAAGTTCATACTTTTTCTGAAGGCCAGTTCCAAGTGACATAATTACAAAATTCTTAAATACAGAATTAACTTCTGAAATCTTACTGCTAGTCACAGAAAAGTTCTTATTCCTAGTTCATACCATCCATTAAACATGGAAACATTTGAGAAGATAATCTGGAAACTAATGTCAGCATTTAAAGAGAAGTAGGTTAAATGTAAGAAGAAAAAAGCCTGTACCATTTTGCTAAACAAAGAAAAAAAAGACAAAATTCTATTATCCAAATAGATCTATGTATTCCTCACTACTTTATGCATGTACTGATACATTTCCAGTTCTTTCTATCTGCAGTCTCTTCTCTTTTCCTGTACATCAAGCCTACTGAACAGACCAATTTTCCTGGAGAATATTTCTGACATCAACAGACGTTATGAAAACAACATCTGACATCAAGATATGTTATGAAAGCTGGCAAAGGAGTTTGGATAACAGTAATTCGACTACTTGATGAAAATGATAGGTAAATCCAGAAAAGAAAGCCTTCAGAAATGTTACGGCAAAGTAAGAGGGCTATGCACTGCTCAGTGCTCCTTAGCATATAATCAGATAATTTTTTGGAGTTACAAAGATATTATTTAGTATATACCATCACTTATTTAAAAATAGCCAATTCTAGGAAGGGAAAAGCTACTATAAAAAATTAGTAAAATATAAAAATGCAATAACTCTGCATTAAAATGAAGACTTAACTTAGGAGACATTTTGAGAAGGTATATGTGTATGTTACTGGGAATCCCATAAGAACAGTTTTTTAAAAAAATGGAAGAGAAGCAGTATCTGAGAAGACAATGCCTGGAAATTTTCCAAAAATGATAAGAAACCAAGTCACGAATTTAAAACACAAATACAACTCTCACTCCCCCATCCCTGCCCCAATACACATCTAGGCATATAAGAATCAGAAAAAGGGGGCTGGGCGCGGTGGCTCAAGCCTGTAATCCCAGCACTTTGGGAGGCCGAGATGGGCGGATCACGAGGTCAGGAGATCAAGACCATCCTGGCTAACACAGTGAAACCCCGTCTCTACTAAAAAATACAAAAACCTAGCCGGGCGAGGTGGTGGGCGCCTGTAGTCCCAGCTACTCGGGAGGCTGAGGCAGGAGAATGGCGTAAACCCGGGAGGCGGAGCTTGCAGTGAGCTGAGGTCCGGCCACTGCACTCCAGCCTGGGCGGCAGAGCGAGACTCCGTCTCAAAAAAAAAAAAGAATCAGAAAAAGGTCCTATAGATTACTTCCAAAAGAATAACTATTAGACTGTAAGTTGACTTCTCAATAGAAGCAATGAAAGCCAAAAGACTGAGAGATGTTTTCCAAGTACTCAATGAAAATAGGTGCTAAGGTAAAACTCTATGCCGTGTAAATATCCTTCAAAAATAAAGGTGAAATAAAGATATTTCTAGAGAATAAAACCTGAGACAATCTGACATCAGCAGAAAGTCCATGCTAGAGAAAGTAAACTCAAGGATATTCTTTAGGCAGAAGGAGAATGATTCTAGATTTAAGTCTGGGGATGGAGGAAGAAATAAAGAGCAATAAAAGGAAAATTAACGCTGGTAAATCTGTATGAATATTTACTGCATAAACCACAATATACCGCCTTGTGTGGCTTAATATATATATCTATAGAATTAAAACATGCATTATGGCCAAAACCGAAATTACTTTTGCACCAACCTAATAACAACAATAACAGATACATGCTGATCCTTCACTATCAGAGAAGGGTAAAAGTATCAATTTATATTAGACCTTGCTAAATTAAAGGATACTATAATCTCTAGAGTAACCCACAAAACCAAAAAGGAACATAATTCTATGCAACACACATAAGATGGGAAAAAATAAAATTATTCAAAATATAATCTAAAGGGCAGCAAAAAAAAAGAAAAGAAAAAAGAAAAAAGAACTTAAAACCAGCATGACAAATATAAAGCACAAGTCAGGCTAAATCTAAAATGATAGGAATTACATAGGAGTTAAGTTCTCCAATTAAAGGCCAAAAATTGTCAGACTGAAAACAAAAACTAAGAACTATATGCTGCTTACAACTAACTATATGCTGCTTACAAAAGACATATCCAAACGATAAGACACAAAATGACTGAAAATAAAAGAATGGAGAAACATACACCATATAGTTCTACCAGCAATGTATAAGGATGCTGATTTGTCCAGGGACTCACCAGAGTACATTGTCCAAGTTTTAATTTTTGCAAATTTGATAAATAGTAAATAATATCCCAGTCTAACTTTAGTCTGCATTTACACTGAGTAAAGCTGAGTATCTTTTCAAACTTGTGAATCATTTTCTGTAAACTATTCATCTCTCTAATCTATTTTCTGATAGGATTAATAAAGTATTAATAAAGTATTAACACTGTCCTTTGGAATGTAAACTGATACAACCACTTTGGAAAACTGCCATTACCTGCTAAACTGAACGTATGAATGCCCTATGCTATCCTATTTCTAGGTATATACCCTACACAAATATGTACATATAAACATAAAGAATGCTCGTATGATAATTATTCCTAATAGCCAGAAACTGGAAATAACTCAAATGTCTATCAACAGAAGAATGAAAAAATACTGTATAATACCATTTATGTGAAGTCAAAAATAGGTAAAACTAATATTTAGTGCTAGAATTCAAGAGCTGTTCCCTTTGGGAAGAAGACAAAGGAGGTAGTGATTAGGTGCATTAGTCCATTCTCACATCCCTACAAAGAACTACCTGAGAATGGGTAATTTGTAAAGATAAAAAGGTTTAACTGGCTCATGGTTCTGCACGTTGTACAGACTTCTGTTTCTGTACCCACCTGTGCCTCTTGGGCACTTTTAATATGGCTAGTCCAAATTGAGACATGCTATGGAGTATAAAATGCACTCTGGGTTTTGAAGGCTCAGTATGAAAAAACAGAAAGTAAAATATCCTTTAAATAACTTTTAGATTTTTGATATGTTCAAACAATATTTTTGATTATATATTGAGTCAAATAAAACATTATTAAAATTAAAAAAATAAATGGGAAGAGAAAGGAAGTTAGTACTGTATGAAAAAAGAAACTCTTGAGAAACTGTAATGAACCAAATCTACAGTCTTTTTTCTTTCTTGGAGACAGGGTCTCACTCTGTCACCCAGGCTGTAGTCCAGTGGCACAATCTTGGCTCACTGCAACCTCTGCCTCCTAGGCTCAAGCCATCCTCCCACCTCAGCCTCCCAAGTAGCTGGGACTACAGGCATGCGCCACCACACCTGGCTAATTTTTGTATTTTTTGTAGAGAGAGGGTCTCACTTTGTTGCCCAGGCTGGTCTTGAACTCCTGAGCTCAAGTTATCCACTGGCCTCCCAAAGTGCTGGGATTACAGGTGTGAGCCACCACGCCTGGCCCCTACTGTCTATATAAGGCCTACATTAATCTGAGTTGTGCTAAAAACCTAATCAGATACTTTAAAGGGGCCCTGGCTTATAAATGCCAGTTAGCTAATTAACTAGGCTACTGGTAGAAGCAAAGGCAAATCCTTATCAGAAAACTGTAATTCCAATCCTGGCCTCAAAAAAATTCTCACAGAAATCCTCAAAGAATATAAATTTATAGTCAAATTTTTTTTAAAAAAATTAGGTGTCATGGTGACACCCAACTCAATCAATAGATGGCAGAATCAGATGCTGCAAATCATCTGGAAGTTTAAATTATCAGAAGCAGAATACAAAACAATCATATTTAATATGTTTCAAGAAAAAATTCTAGAGACTGTTTAAGAAACATTTATAAGATCTGAAAAATAAATTATAGTTTCTAAAACTGCAAATAAGACAACTAAAACTCTACATTCAATTGGATAGTTTAGACACAGCTGGCAGACTGCCACAGAATCTTAAATTATCTAGAGTTTAGCCCAGAAACACAGAGATACAAAATAGGAAATTAAGGTTAAAAGATTTGGAGGACAGAATAATCTAACATACACTAGGAATTTTGGAAGAAGATATAAGAATAGTGAAGAGACAATATTTGAAGAAACACTGGCTAAGTATTTCTCTGAATTGCTGAAAGACACCAAACCTCAGATTCAGAAAGCCCAATCCAATCAAGGTAAATTTTTCAAAATTACACCCACTTTCATAGTGATACTGCCAAGCGGCAAACATAAAGAGAAAATGGAAGAGGAGACAAGAATAAAAGATCACCTATAAAGGAAGAGTCAACTACTGACTTTTCAATAGCAACAACATAAGACAGAATATAAATAAACAGGTTTTTTTTTTTTTTTTTTTTTTTTTTTTTTTTTTGAGACTCTCACTCTATTGTTCAAGCTAGAGTGCAATGACGTGATCACATCTCACTGCAGCCTTGACCTCCTAGGCTCAACTGATTCTCCCACCTCAGACTCCTGTGTAGCTGGGACTACAGGCACAAGTCACCATGCCTGTCTCATTTTTTTATTTTTGTGGAGATGGGTCTCGCTATGTTGCCCAGGCTGGTCTCGAACTCCTGGCCTCAAGCCATCCTTCCACCTCAGCCTCCAAAGTATTGTGATTACACGCATGAGCTACTACGCCCAGTAAAAAAGTTCTTTAATGTGCTGAAATCATGTTCCAAAACCAAGGGTGAAACAACACACATATCAGACAATCAAAAACTGATAATTCACTATAAAACAGACTCCCTACTAAAACATATTCTTGGTATGCTGAATATATTTCAGGCAGAAAAAAGATCATAAGGAGAAAATCTGAGAGCACAGACATTGGTATACATATTACACACACACACACATAGAGAGAGAGAGAGAGAGAAAGAGAGAGAGAGAAATCTAAATAAAAACTAAATGAACAAAATAATATCTCATCATGGGGTTTAAACAGAGAACTGGGCTGGGTGTGGTAGCTCACGCCTATAATTCCAACACTTGGGGAGGCTGAGGAGGGTAGATCACCTGAGGTCAGGAGTTCAAGAGCAGCCTGGCTAACATGGTGAAACCCTGTCTCTACTAAAAATACAAAAATTAGCTGGGTGTGGTGGTGTGTGCCTGTAATCCCAGCTACTAGGGAGGCTGAGGTGGGAGAATCACTTGAACCCGGGAGGCAGAGGTTGCAGTGAGCCGAGATTGTGCCATTGCACTCCAGCCTGGGCACAGAGTGAAACTCCATCTCAAAAAAAAATAATAATAATAAAAAAAATAAATTTAGAGCACTGAAGTAATGTATTAATACAACCATTTTAAGTGAGTGTGAGTGGTAATCACAACTAAAACATTTTAAGGTTCTAAATAATATTGAGGAAGCTATATATATTGCTTAATTTAGTCTATGTTAGATATACATGTTAAAACATCTAGAGTAAGCTCAGAAAGAACATACACAAAGAATTTAAGTTCCAAACTAACAAAGGGCAAAATGTGGAATAACAAAAAGTAAAAGAGTTTATAAAAAACAATTTCTTCAAGAAGCGTTTTCTCAAAACTCAAAGAAAACAAAGTGTTTGAAAGAAAAACACATAAAGATAAAATTCTCTCTGAAAGCAACATTAAGGGAAAAAAAGAATCAACATTTCAATCATGCTTTGAAAACACCTTTGCCACTCTAAAATATTTGTATTAGAAATGTTAAGATACAGCAATTTTATTTCACCACTAACAATTATGACTAAAGCTTTATGAGAGACTATAAATAATGGCTTTCTTGTTGCATAATAGCTGTGGAAAATATTTCTCAGGTTGCTAATGGTTCTGTAATTAGTATGCTACTTATTTTCTAATATAAAACAGAAAATACTTGCTTGCCTTTTTATCTTCAGGGTTTAGTTGATTCATTAACATATTGACATTGTCAGTATTCCAAACCCAAGAATTACTTGTGAAATATTCAAGAAACACCATAGCTTTGTGAAGACGAGTTATTGTTTTCATCATCCTGTATTGTAAGAAAAATTGACAGATTTATATTTTGTATAGATTAGGAAAAATCCTATCACCACTCAGGGTGCAAGTTTCCCCCAATATAGACATTAATATTAAAATTATAACATTTAATCATTAAGTGTACCAAATCAGCAGGGAATAAGAATATTTCTGCATCTTGAACGAACAACTTATAAATCCAAAAGGAAACTAAATGCTTTTTGAAAGCAGCAGCAAATGCATTTAATACTACCTAAACAGCGTTCTGCTGATATATAAAATTAATTCTCAAAGGATATACAATACTCTTAAATTTTCTACACAAAATACTAAGCAAACGAATGGATTCAATTAATATTTCGTTGCTTTCTATTCCTTAAACTACATTTTAATTCACAGCTGCATTTTCTAAGATTTCCTGTGAATTCATAACATACTGTGTTATATTTATAATTCCAACTCTTCAGCACTGCTGAAGCAAAGAATACAGAAATGTTCGTTTGCCACATAGTCAACTCTATTCATTTAAAAAAACAAAACAACTTTTCTTTAACAATGATTGGCACCACTCTTGATCATCTGAATGTGCTGTGAAATCAATGACTCATGCTGAAAACTATCTGAAACAGATACCCACTCACCTCCATATACCCCACCAATACGCATCCTTATAGAAATAAAGGAGTGTGACACCCTTTTAAAAGTGTGTCTTTAAAGAAAGAGTGTGATTGTTTTTGAAAGTACAAGGAGCTTTAATCTTCAAATCTGTCATTTTATATATCATGGCTCACTGTAAGTCATTGATATCATAACACTAACTTAAGCAGTAACATCTATACAATAATATTTATGATAAGTAGGGAAAGGGAAGAAAGAACTTTTTGAAACAAAACAAATACCAAAAAAATCCCAACTTCTGTGAATTAGAAAAATAATTTGTGGAGAAGTACTTTTTAAAGATTTCATTTATATTATAATAACAATTAGCATTATATGTATCAAATAGTTTAGACAGTCTCAAAATTAGGGGCTTTAGAAATAGGAGGGGCATGGAGGAAAATTACATTAGAAATGAGGAGAAAAAAAACAAGAAAGTATCATTAGCTAAGCAATTCTGATAACACATTCAATACATTTAGAAATAAACTATGAATCCAGGATACTGGAAGAAAATGAAGCAATATAAACTAGGTAAAGAAAAACTATATTTCATCAATAAAGTAATTTCAAAATAAAATCTCAATTAAACACAAAATGAATTATCAAGCATCAAAGGTAGTTTCTGAACAGGGATAGTTCTGTAGATAAAAAGCATCTGAGGGGGAAAAACACAAGCTGCTCTTAGAAAAGGTTAGGTGATTATTTTTTTCTAAAAAACAAAAAGATACAACAAATTTGTCACTAAATCAACCCATACTCTCATGCCAGTTTAGCATACTTAAATCTCTCTCACACACACAGTTAACATGGTTTTCCTATATATATCTTATTAAAAGTTTTTTCTTCTTAACTTTTTTTCACTAATAATTCTCCCACCTAATCTTATCTTCAGATTCATTCAAGTGACACAATCAACCCTAACATCAATCAGTAATTCAGCCATTCAAAAAATAATTGCAATAAAAATTGGGGAGGGGGAAGATATTTGGAAGGCCATATATTTGTGTGTGAAATTTATAGAATATTTATTATGCAACAAAAATACTGGATTGAAAACAGTTGAGGAATAAGAAGAAATGTAAAACTTTGCATCATCACTCCTTGGTTAAACATACCATAGAACAGATGTTTATGACTACATTGCCAGGTATGTTCTGAATATGTATTTATTCTTTATTACGGCAGCTTAAAAATAATAATCACAATCCTTTAGACTAGGGCAAGATCTTAATGATTCTCTAGTCCAGGGTTTCTCAACCTTGGCACTATAAATATTGTGGGTCTCATCATTCTTTCTTGTGGAGGGCTATCTTGCATGCTCTAAGATGCTTGTCACCATCCCTGGCCTCTAGGTGCTGACAGCAGCCCTCCCCCAGTTGTGGTAACTAAAAATACCTGCGAACATTGACAAATGTCTCCAGTTGAGAAGTATACAGATTAAAAATAGATATCTGGTTTAGAGAAGTTAAGCTAGATAAAGTTATGCTAGTTAACCAAAACGTAAGATCATGGAGCCATTTTTTAAAAAATGTCAGGTCAGATGCTTACCCAGCTCACATTCAGAATTACGTAAACGAGTAAACTGGATGAAATGAATGACATGACTGACATCAGTTTAATGTAGAACTAGGCATTATAGTAAGGCCCCCATATAAGGTATAAAGTCTATTACTGTGCTCAATAAATTTCTGAACAAATGAAATAATATAAATTATAAGACTTTGTACTTAACATTTATAAAATTGTCTAAGTAAAAAAACCTTTATATTCCTTGTTGCCTTCAGACTATAAGCTCCCAGAAGTCAAGGATCTGTCCTGCTTTGATACTTAGAAAGCCTCACACAGCACAAACCTCAGGTAAGAAGATTGTTTACTTAATATTTCCTATTTAGGAAAGATTAATTTCCAAAGGTGCCTACGATATGATCTCCCATCCTACATGCCCACCTACAATACAATGTCACCTTGACTGTCTTCTCAATGAGAGTTGAAAATAACTTAGAACCAACAGAATGAGGTGGAGGTGACACGATGCGACTTCCGAGGCTAGGTCAGAAAAGGTGTAGAGCTTTCTGTCTTGCTCACTGAATACTCACCCTTGAAGCCTTCAGTCACCTTGTATGCTGTCCAACTCTCCCTGAGGCTGCCATGCTGCGAGGAAGCTCAAACTAGTCCATAGGGAGAGGCCACATGGAGAGGGTCTGACACTACTGGAGAGAGAGAGATGCCCAGCCACCCCAGCTACTGTCCCCTTCCCCCCTTTACCACTCCCTCCACAGCAAAGCTACTCCAGTCCCTGTCTGACTACAATCATTTGAAAGATTCTGAGCCATTACCATCAAGCTAACCCTTCTAGAATTCCTGACCCACAGAAATTGTGACACACAAATAAAATGATTGCTTTAAGACACTAAGTTTGAGGTGACTTGTTATGTAAAACAGATTAACAAATCTCAACACAGATCTCAATACTAAGAGGGTCTGCTATAATAAAAACCTAAAGCATGTGGTATTAGCTTCAGGGTCAAGTGGTAAACAAAATCTGTAAGGCCTGTTAGGTGATCAGTAGTGAAATGTGAAAGGACCAGGAAAACATTATTAATGGAAGCCTTAAAGGGTTTTAAGAAAGCTGTTGGTGAGGGCTTGAAGTAAGGACAACAAACTGTCACTTCTGGTTATATGGAATATAGAAAGTGTACCTAATAAACTCAATGATCTAGCCGAAATTTGCTGAAAGAGGGCAAAAGAGGACAAAGATGATTTTTAAAAAATGAATTATTTGAGTGGAAATTTGGAGGAAATGTAAAATGTCAGCCAGGAATTCTTTAAGAAATGGTTTCTGAGCATAGCAGGGTAGGGGAAGATGAATCCTTTGCTAAGACTTTAGAAAGACCTAGGTAGTACCTTTTAGAACTTTCAGACAGACAAAAGGCACTCTCCAAATCTTAAAGAAATGTGTAACAGAAACTCTTACTGTTCAAAAGGCAGGATCTAAGAGGCAAGGATCTAAGATCTAAAAGTGTTGTTCCACTTTTAGAGGACCCAAGATAGAGAAGGGCTTGTGTCAAAGAGATTTATGGGTATGGCTTTAGTCTAATGGATTGGATTCCTTGAAAACAGATACACCGGACACCCACACAATTTTTAAGCAATCATGTCAGATTACATGTAAAGGGATAGACAAAAAAAACAAAACAATGAAGAAACTGCTATATTAACGGTCAGCAAACCAGGGCCTATATACCAAATCCAGTCCACCAACTGTTTTTGTAAATGAAGTTTTACTGGGACACAGTCATGTTCATTCCTTTACCTATTGTCTACAGCTGCTTTCATTTTTAACAGCAAAGATAAGTAGCTTCAACAAAAACCACATGTCCTGCTAAACCTAAAATATTTACTATATGGCCCTAATTTACAAGGAAAGCTTGCCAGTTCCTGCCCTGATCCCCTAACCTTTCATGGGCAGGAAGCAGGATAAGAAGGCTACTCGGCTGCACACAGAGCCCACAGGCCAGTTTTTATGCATAAAGAAGGATGATGACTCAGAGGGCAGAGGCAAGAACCTCAGAGAACTCCCAGAGAATAAGACTGAGCTCCTAATCAAGAAATCATCAACATATATCTGACTGGAATTCAGAAATGTTATAGACCAGTGTTTGCTGGGTGTCTCCCAATTTCTCTCTTTTTGAATAAAACTGTCTAAAGCCATTTCCTATGCTTACCATCATTTATAATGGGTGTATCCTCGTTGCTTTAGTTCACAGATCAATTCTTGAGGAACTATACTTGAGGAGCTATACTGACAAAATCACTCCTAAAGAGCCTCATCTTATCAATCTCAATTGACCAGATTTAGAAGACAGAACCCTGGCTTCCAGCTGATGTCACAGGGGTCTAGGGCAGTCGGGGAGTGGGGACGCGTGAAGGGGAAGGCAGGATGAGGGGGGAAGAAGCAACTGTCCTTTCCATGTAGAAGAAATATGAACTGTTTTGGCCAGAAGGTTGACTATAGCAGACTGTACTTTCCAAAAATGATGGCAACAATATCCTTCATCTTGACTACTTTCTAAATCCCCTTACTTGGACACAGGGCAGGGAATATCACACACCTTGGCCTGTTGTGGGGTGGGGGAAGGGGGGAGGGATAACATTAGGAGAAATACCTAATGTAAATGACAAGTTAATGGGTGCAGCACACCAAAATGGCACAAGTATACATATGTAACAAACCTGCACGTTATGCACATGTACCCTAGAACTTAAAAGTATTAAAAAAATGTGCTATGTCAGGCACCAAAATAAAATTATGAACATATGAAAAAAAATTTAAGAAGATTTGTGACTCACTCGTGACTAGAAGAATGAGGCAAAAGTGATGCTGCATGACTTCTACGGGTAGCTCAAAAGGCAACACAGCCTCCACCTTACTTGCTAAAAGACTTCCCCTTGAAGCCATCAGCTGCCATGTAAGAAGTCTAATTCCCCTAAGGCTATCATTAATCCTTGCAAAGAACTACATGGAGAGATCCTTATGACATGACAAAGAGTAACACTGGTCCCCTTGCTATTCCATTGCCTCTCTGCCCACCTGCCTCTTTCATCTGATCACAAACACACGAAAGACTCCAAGCCAAAACTGCCCAGCGGATTCTTTCTCAAATTCCTGATCCTGACATAAATAATTGAAAGAAGTAATAAAATGACTGTTGCTGTTTTTAGCCTCTAACTTTGAGATGATTTGTTGTGCAGCAATATCTCCTCTGAATTATTTAGTAAACTAGCTGCTCACTTATTTTTTTAAAAGTTTACTAAGCCCCCTTTCTTTGTGTAAGGCAATGTGATATATTTAACCTGTTTTATTTTTTGACCCAGTTTTTACTTTTCTGCCCTAAATTATAACAATCTTAATACAAACAAAGCATGCACTGCCATCATTCATGAATTTACACCTGCTTTTTAGCCATGAAAGAATGCTTCCAATGGCAAGTACTGCATTTTGCAGATCATTCTAGAAAAGTCTGAAAATATTTCTTTATCTGTTCTAAAGTTGTTCAACACCTCTCACATATTTCAATTAGCTAACATATAGGGTTAGAAACATCATGGAAAAGCGAATCCACAGACAATACCTACAAGGAACTCAGATCCTGATACACTGTAACTGGCAAATACCTCACTTTTATTTTTTGAGTAGTTGATAGAAGTTCTGGGATCAGCATCTTCTTTATACAAAAATACTCAAATCCTGAACTCTCCAATCAAAGACTCTACTGTAATGCCATCGTAGTTTAAAAAAATAAGTATTTTTATAGTATATCCCACTGTAAATGTGTGGTAAAGATAGTAGGAGATCTTTAAGTTTGTGGGATTTCAACAAAAACAAAAAAGAAAGAAAGTAAGGCTATAGCAACTATAAGAAAACAGAAAGTTTTCCATTTGTTATTAACTTTTTTCTCATAACTATGCCATTCCAAACCTGGAAAATTAGTCAAAAACTGAAATAACCATATTATAAGCTGAATGGGCAGTTGAGATATTTCAAGTAATTTCCTAGAAGCATCCTATATTTTTCACATAAAACTGCACCATCCATTCAAAGCAAAACTTTTGCCCTTAATCCCCTATAATAACTCATCCCTAGGTTTTTAAGAGGGAGAGAAGGGCTCAATTTCAGCTTATAATAACAATGATAACCATGATGTAGGACATTTCCTATATTATGGAATTTTGGAGGATCAATGACCCAATACGATGTGGTCCATAGTGTCCCCAAAGACCTCCAAATTCTAAGAAATGTCCTAGCATTCTGATTGTGATTAATCAGGTGAGTAAATCTAAAGGTAAAACTCATGCTAGTGATTTTCCATCTCTCCAGCAAGCTTCCACCACCTTACGAATACATAGTGTATTTACTGCTATTCTTCTTACCGCGATTTCTGACCTGTCAACATGAGTGCAATCGAGCAATAATGCAGATACTCTATGGCTGACACCCTTCCGATAATGGTGCGATAGGCTGTTGGAATTAAACTTAAAACTGGGGCACCTGAATACTTGGTTTAAAGGATTCATCTTGAAGGAATGACTTACATAATATCCTGTAGGAAAAATAAGCGTCAAAGCATTTTAAATATTGTTATTTAGAAAGAAACCTAAAGACCTAGAATTCAATACATGATGGTAACTTATCCAAACTTTAAACAAATTAGAGTGACTTACAACACTACCTTTGCTTTTCTGACAAAGTCTTAAATTCAAGAGTCTTCTCATTCACAAAAGGCTATTAAGCCTTATCATAAGCATAAACAAATACAGAGTTAATATGCATTTTAGTGTAAGCATGGGTTGTTTAACAGTCAGAGGAACAGATAAGACAGAGCTAGTCACCATTACCTTGGGCTTCTTCCAGTCATCCTGAGGTAGATATCATACAGGAATGCTGGGGCCTTATGGCTTACAGCAATCCAGTAATGATATAAAAGATGATTGGAGGTTAGATTTACATTGGGCCGTCTGAAGGCCTGTTCGAGAGGATTCCTCTTGAAAGTGGAAATTACATGGTACTCTGAAGAAGAAAAGTTGTGTAACAGCTTTGATAATAACCATGTAATGAAGTTTTGAAAAAAAAAATCACGTTTTTACAATGCAAAATATTTTACCAAAGATGTCAGAGTTCGTTCATTTAAAAAACAAACTTTTCTACTCTCTAGTAGCTAAGAGAATATGGTTATTAGACTGCTAAACTCAAGTGATTTTATAACTGCTGCTATTCATGAATTTTAATTAGATGAATGAATTTTTTCTAAAATTCACTCTTAAAATCCTTTTAATGTTTTACCTATGTCAGTTTACAGTGTCACTTTCTATATTTCACCTCTCTCGATAGCTTCTTTCTTTCTGTTCCTCTTTCCAGACTCTTATTACTGTACTTACTTAAAAAAGAAAAGGAAAATAATCATCCTTTGCTTAAGATGCTTAAATTAACATACATCAACAGGCTTAAAACAACCCAAAATTAATTTCCGTTGTAATTTACATAGGCTATGTAATGTCAACACAATCAAACCTAGTATCATCTATATTAAATACTTTACTGGAAATGTATACTGAGATAGTCACTAAAATATAATGCTCAATTTCAGCTTTTACTAAACTTTATGACACAATAAAAGATTACCAAAAAACCTAACTCATTAAAAATGTTTATTCTTAAAAGAATACTGAAAATAATTAAAGTTAAAATCACCTTAGATTTTATCTTTTTCTTATATGCTCTAATGGTCAATTTTACACTGAAATAAAAATGCCATAGAAAAATTCTAGGACAAATGTCATACAAAATTTACACTGAAATCAAAATTGTTCTGCAGGGGTAATTATTCAATTAGAGGTTAAATAGGATCTATCACTAAATCAATGCCAAAAAAAATTTTACCTTAAATTCGAACTCATCAACCAACAATTTAAAAATGATTCAATTTCAATGGGTTTTAACCATTTCTATTTAAGTTATACTATTCCTATAGAACTAGGAACACGTATATCTGCTGTGAATCTGTGAATTTAAATAGATTAATAAAGGTTAATAGAAAATATTCTGGCAAACTGTATCCTACTTCCTAACTCCTTTATTTATTAGTCTGAGTACCACTTGATATACCACCTCTTGTAAGAAGTGATACTGTCTATGGATAGGCAATATCAAGACCAAGGGTGCTCACAAGGGAGAAAAAAAGCACTGTTCCCATGCTATAGGTATCTATGAGGGCTACTGCAGAAGGCAGCAGAAAAACAGCAAGGCTTAGACAAGGGTAGGGTGGGTGGGTAAGAATAGACAGCAGGATACTTTTAAATTTGTGAAACATTATAAGGACCACAAGGTAGTACTGGTAGATATTACTTCTAAGATGACAATTAAGAACAAATTGGTAACTCAGTGGCCTTAATGTCTCATAAGTATTCTAACATTAAAACTTCAGGGAGTTTGGTTCTTTAAGATTTATTCTAACATTCAAAAACACAGGTAAAATCATACCAACTTCACCCCAGTGGAAGGGATTAGTGCTGCCTGTTGTACAATTATACACCATGATGTTTCTTGGTCTGCAAAGACAAAGATGAAACCAATTAATCATAATAAGAGGCCAAACATATCCAATCTAAGTCCTACATAGTATTCGAGAAGACATGAGGATGATGGGCATCTTTTCTATGCTAATTATTATTTTTTTAATTATCCTTAAAAGATTAGTTTTTACGTTAATGACTATTTACAATTACCCTTTCTTCTTCCCCTACCAAAAAGAATTACTTATTTTAAAAAAATAGACATTTTTTCTTTCACATTTTTCCTCCTTATATTATTAGGAATATCTGTTTTTAAACATGAGGAAAACATCAAACGACCTCAGCTCTTCTTGTCTTTGAATTTCAGAGGATCTAGTTGAAAAAAAAATTATGGACTAAGTTTCCTTATGCCAAGAACAACATATTCACATAATCCTATCTTTCTTTTTTTAGGACAGAAAATACTAATTATCAAAAATAAGGGTAGTTTACTACCTAGAAAAAAGAAGTTATTGGGAAGTTTAAAGTTTAAGTGTTACCTGTGAATGCTACTATTACCTTTTAAAGGAAAGATGCTCATGGGTTGATTAAAGCTGCTCTGGTTTAATCAATCATGTTTAATATATGTAATACCATGTTTAATACCATGTTTAATATATGTAAACCATGTTCTGTGAATTTCAGCTTTTTATATATACCAAGTTTTAGTTTGGATTAAAAAATCATCCTTAAGGAGTTTTTTTTTTTTTTTTCCTTCATTTTTAACCTCTAGTGAACTTGTCTATCCTGTAAGTAATACATGAGCATTAACATTAATTTTTCATTACTACTGATGGGAGCACTTGCTATTGTCTGTGATAATACCAACTTTTGGAGTTGGCAGTGCTACTGCCTAAATATTGGTATGGCAATATCTGGATGGAGGGATTAATTAACATTACTCAGTAGGTATGTCTTCCCTTTTCCGTTACTACATATTTAATAAGCGACATTGTCACCTCATATACCTATTAACTCCGGAATACCAGGCTGCCGCAAGACTCATGTTGACAACTACATCTACAGGAACAAGATCTGCAAGGGCATTGTTGGAGGCACGTATTGTTCGAAGAATTCCTTTCCCTGCCTTTGTTGAAATTAAAAACAACACCTTAAGATATATAAGCCATAGTGTATATTTAAAGATATACAAAAAGCAGAAAAATGTATAGAATATTAAATAAATCAAAAGGTTTACTTACCGCAATAAAGAGACCACTTGGTCCATTAAAGTTATCAATCCATCCCTAATACCAAAAATTTTAAAAGGGGGAGAAGCTTAGAAACATTATGAAGCTAGAGACTTATTATTTGAACTCTACAACCCCAAATATATACTTGGTAGCTGTCTTCTAAAAACTAAAAAACAAACTAGATTCAGGCCAGACTATTTCTACCAGTCCCAAACAGAAGCAGTCTTCCTCTGGGATCAAAAATGATTGAGTAAAATCATTTTCAAAGGGTTACCTACTACTCTTCCATTAACTCTCTGCAAAGAGAAATTTATAAAAGAGGGTTTATATTGTTAAACACTTTGGCAAAATTAAGCTTGTTCAAGTTTGATTTATGCTATTTACTAATTCAGTATCCTGAGACTAGGGAAAATGGTAAATCCTCCTCAAAATTATGAATAAAACAGAAAAATAGAATAATTGTCAAAGCAACAAGAGATGCTGTCACTTACTACCATTACACAGACCTAGGTTTTGCCTAAATCAATTTACCCAACTGGTTTATATTTCTGCTTTCTCTCATTCCAGGAATTCACAAATACCTTAACACCCTGTACCTTTTTAGCTTTGTGATCTACAGAGGAAGGGGTCTACCTCTTGGAAGATCTGCTTCTTTTTGGTACTAAGAAACAAACCAAATCTCCTCTGACTTAAGAAAATGTCACAGCTTCTGATTTAATTTTCAATTAGGATTTTTTAAATGTTGATCTACATTTCTATACACCCAGCATCACATTATAGAAATGAAAGTACCAATAAAATTAACTCTATGAACACAAAACAGCTTTGCCATGGTAATTCACCTTTAGTAAATAATACCTGTTCTTAAAGAACTGCCAGCTCTTTTTATACAACTTAAAATTCTCAACTCCAATTATTTACAAAGGTTTCTAACAACTTACTGGAAAAGGTTCTTTCCAACTGGCACCAACAATCGATGGCCTTACAATTGCCACATTTAGTTTTGCTCCTTCTTGTTGTACAACATATTCTGCCAATGCTTTTGTGTATATGTATGTATTAGGTCTGTCTCCTATCAATTTTGGCGTGATATCATTTACTAGGCCATCATCCATCCACCTGGTAAAGAAATTGCATACAAATATATTTCCAGATATTTTACTATAAAATGAAAAGCTACTTAATTGAACTTTGCACATTCAAACATACCTGTTGTTCTGACTCAAATCATTTGACAATTTTTACTGAAAAATGGAACTCAGTCTTATTTTTCTTAAACATCAACTACAGGTCCACAATCCCTTATCAGCAATTTCTATATCCAAAAAGATCTGAAAACTAAGAGTTCTTTCATAAATCATACGGTGGATAGCAAAATCTGATCTACACTGACTTATGGTCTTCTTTTTGATACAACTTAGTTTAAACGTTCATATATTTTATATGTATTTGATGAGGGATACTAACCCAGATCAAGCTAAAGTTTTATCTTATTACATAGTACATAAGTTATATTCCCTCTCTAAAGTCCAAATAAATTCCAAAATATATCTGAAACCTTTTAGAAGGTTGCAGATTAGGAAATATAGATCTGTATATAACCACCTAATGAAGTAACATGTTAAATTATATACAGTTACAATTAACATACATTTATAATGAACATAAAAGGCATAAAAGGCCTAGTATGATGAACAATAAAAATAAATTGAACCATGCTATAAAAATTCAATTAGCAACCTACTATGAAGTCAAAAAATCCCTCCAATTCTCTTTGAAGAAATGGTCTACTCTGTTCATCTGTAAAAGGAGGGTGGTATACTAGGTGGTGTCCATGGTTTTTCCTAAACTTCTAATTCTAATACGTTATGTACTTGTTTTCAGTTCTAATATGTTATGTACTTGTTTTCAGTTCTAATACATTATGTACTTGTTTTTCCTTCTTGTCGATAATGTTATGTATGCAAGTAGACTCAGTATATTGTCATACTCTAATGATACCCATACTAATTGACAAAAAGGCATAAAATGGAGATCAAGTTAAAATTTTCTTCTGTATATGGAAGTACTTTTTGTATATGAAAGGAAAAGAACATTAATTAAATAGAAGGGAAATTGCTACCCAACTTAGGAAAAATTCCACCATGGAGATGAGATTTGAAAAATGAAAGGGATAGTTGACACATGGGGGAAAAAAAAACCTGCCTAAACTCAGGAGAAACTTTAGCCAGTAAGCCTTATTACTAGAACGAGTTTACAGAACAAACCCATGAGTTATCTTAAAATTATGTTACCTAGATTTCTTTGCAGCAAGGAAAGGAGATACAGCATTAGCTTACAAGTTCTTTTTCAGTTTCTCAGATGTTTGTATATATTGTTAGTAAGAGAAAAAGTAAAATGCTTCATTAACTTCCACACTCAACTTTTCCCACAGATATTAAACACTTCTGTCTATTGACCTATGAAGAAAATGAAGTAGATATTTGGGACCATCTAAGAAAACGAGTGAGAAAATAGAAATTAGGGAATTACAATGAAAATGTCTTGGTAATTTCTCATACTTATTTTTTTTTTACAATCTGTTTCCTCATATTAGCAGGAAAGCCTTAAAGAAAAGACTGTGCTTATTTTAAGAGAAAGCAGCAGATGTTAACTAAGTAGTTAAAGTGGGTAGAATCTCTGGAAAGAAAGGAGACTAAAAGAGACAGGGAAAAAGAAAGGACGAAAAAATTCAAAGATATTATATAAGGATTAACAAATGCGAAAATACGGTGGATACTGGAATGTTTATATAATTGCAGTCTATAGAAGTAAAAAAGATCTCTCTTTTCTTGGCTGAACCTTGTCTGTTTGATGAGAAGGCCTAAGCTGCAGCAAATGAGAACAACGTCATGGTATACACTACCTCATTTAATCCCTATCTATCAATACTCACAAAAAATTTTCATGTAATAATTGCTGACAAGATCTCAATCCTCAGAAAGATGATAAACAGTAAGACAAAGGGTATGAGTTAAAAGACTATGATTCCTCTGATTCTCTAATAATTAAAGGCCCCTCTATAGATATACTCCATGGGCGGGGGGTGGTGAGTGCAATCCTTTAATAAATTAGAGGCCTGCTATTAAACAGGCAGTCATGGGTCTCCACAGGTACTTCTTGGTTGCTAAGATTGATTCCCTGAAAAAGGCAGCACCTAATATCACTAATAAGATGTTCAGGAGCCTTCCTCCAAATGTTACCATTATACTTGGTCAAAAGTGAAAACTACACATTGACTTCACTAACATTTATTTAGATATTAATCTACACAATAAAAAGAATATAGGGGATATGCAAAAAATTTCTTAAGAAAAGAGATAAATGTATGTGTGTGTTTGTGCATGTGTATATGGGGTGTGGTGATGAGTAGAGGGAGAAGAGCTTGAATCCAAAGGTTATTTTTCTTTTTTTTTTTTTTGAGACAGAGTCTCGCTGTGTTGCCCAGGCTGGAGTGCAGAGGCGCGATCTCAACTCACTGCAACCTCTGCTTCCCGGATTCAAGCAACTCTCCTGCCTCAGCCTCCTAAGTAGCTGGGACTACAGGCGCCCGCCACCACGCCTGGCTAATTTTTTTGTATTTTCAGTGAGATGGGGTTTCGCTATGTTAGCCAGGCTGCTCTCGAACTCCTGACCTCATGATCCGCCCGCCTTGGCCTCTTTTGGGATCAAAGTAAATGTATATAAATTTCAAACAAACATACTCTAAAGAATCAATCAGCTTCTTGGGATCCACAGGTGGTGGATAGACGACTTCATCAATATGCTTTCGATTACAGTAGGCATATGCTGTTGATACATGCATGAACACTTCCAGATTCTTCATTTGTTGTGCAAGGAGAATAAGCTGTCGCGTTGCAATCACATTTAACTGAACAGCATCTCTGTTTAAAAAGAAAAAGTAACAATAGAAAATTAGGAAACTATGTTATTTTACCTGTTAAAAAAATCTTATTTTCATTAGAAAGGTAGAGAAACAGAGACAGAAATTTTTGTTTCTCTACAACTTAGCCTTTAGCTGTGATTGTGTGCATTTTATTCCATATTAAATATGTTCATTCTATCAGCTGTGTTAAAAAAATTTTTTGATTATAAAATAAAACTGCATTGCAGCTCTTAATAATTAAAGTAGAGTGCTCGCTTCGGCAGCACATATACTAAAATTGAAACGATACAGAGAAGATTAGCATGGCCCCTGCGCAAGGATGACATGCAAATTCGTGAAGCGTTCCATATTTTAAAAAAAAAATTAAAAAAAATAATAATAATTAAAGTAGAAATTTAAAAATTATGTAATTGTCCAGGAACAAACAGATAATTTCAGTCTTTAGCTTCTATGCACACATTTTGAAGTCATGCTGGACTTACTTTTAAAAAGTATAATCTTGCATAATATGGATGTGCCACAGGGAGAAAAAAACAGAATGACTAAGTAATTTTAAAATGTTAAGGTACAGTCACTAATAAGGGTGATACAGCCAGAGAAAACTCAGAAACATTAAATTATATTAACATATAATCAAGAAAGAATATGTCTATTTCCCTCTTTGTAGCAATCAATCCAAACACTTTTCTAAGGCTACCTTATAAAATTCAAAGGGACATTATAATAAAACTGGTACATTTGTTACAAAGCATACGCAAAACCCCAAAATAATCTATATATTCCCTTCTTGGAATTTACTTGAAGTAAATAATTCCACAAAAGCAAAAGCATATAAGCAGAAAAGTTATCAATGAAGCATCATGTAATAATAAAAACCTAGAGAGCCCAAATATTCACTATGGAATATGGAATGACTCAATAAAGTAGGTATTTTATCACAATGAAAGAATATAAGTCACTAAAATAATTATGTGAAGTCTATAAAAACATGAAAAATTTGTATGAATAATACCAAAAAAATACATACAATATGATGTGAAGCAGGATTAAAAACAAGGCTCTGGAATCAGGACTGTGTTCAAATCCTGACTTGGCCTACCTATCAGGACATAAAGTTACTGAAGCACTCAGGCCTCAGTTTTCTTACCTGGAAATGGGAACAGTAATGAAACCTACCTACTAAGATTGGTATAAAATTAAACAAATAGCTTGCAAGCATTTAGCAGTATTTCTAACATAGTCACCAAACAGGCAGTCAACAAATATTTCTTAAGGTAATGAGATGGTGGATAGATTTGCTTTGTATTAAACTTCTGTTTACAGCTTTTTAAAAACTGACCAAGAGATCTATTGTACAACATAAAGACTATAGTTAATATCAATGTATTGTTATTTTTAAAAATTACGAAGAGAGTGGATTTTAGGCATTCTCACCACACAAAGTATGAGATAATGAATATGCTAATTAGCTCATTTGACCATTACAATGTATACATATTTCAAAACATGTTGTACACAAAAACTTTGGTCAACTAAAAAAATAAAAACAAACAAAAGACTTAAATACTCAATACCAGTGAGAAAAATGGCAAAGTAATACACTGTTGTTGATACTACAAACTGACACAAATGATTTGAAGGAAACTAGGACATGTTCAAGTACCAGGAATTACAGAAAAGGTATATTTATTAATCTAGTTAACCTGTTGAAATTAACTCAGAGGAAAAACTTGTTCTAATCTTCATTTTTCAAATAAAAAGAAACTAAAATTCCTTAAAGTTTATTCTAAGTGAATAATACATAAACTGTGGTATGTCAACATGATGGAACATCATCAAATCACTAAAATTATAACTACAGAAAAACTTAGAAATACAGAAATTGTTTCTATATTAAGTTTTAAAAGTAAAACTAGAAAGTCTATATTTATAACAAAGAAAAATAATGTTCAAACACAAAGGAAATTTTTTTAAAAAACAAAAATAGTTTTCAGTACTTTCCAAAATTCTTTTATTTTCAGTATTTAAGAAAAAAATCCAACTATTGTTTTAAAAGGCCAGGATATGTCATAGATAGAATCCAGTCCACTTACTTCACTGTAAAGCAGTGCTTTGATGTCTATCACATTTGCAAAACAATGGGGATAGGGAGAGTACTGTTTGGGAGAGGAATACAGAGAATATTCTGTTACAGGTTCCTGAGGACAGGACAACAAGTTCTGGGTCACCAGGAACAAGGAATAGCTCCAGGAGAGAAAAAAAGTCCTGTGCCATATTTTTTCTTTTAATTTAATAGTACCCGAGACCCCATGAAAAAATACTAGAAATAATTTTTTTAAATGAAATAATTGGGTTGAGCTCTTAAAATCATGGATGCATCTTTTTTTTTTTTCTTCCTTGTCTCAATTGAGGGAGAAAATCTGTTTAAGTGAAAATCCAACAAGAAAGACATTTCACATAGAAGATACTATCCACTAGACTATAAGGGAATGCACTATTTTCTTTTGCATTTGCAAAACAATAGGGGCAGGAAGAGCAATGTTTTGGGAAAAGTACACAAAGGATATTCTGTTACATGTCCCTGAGGATGGTGACAGAGTTTCTAGGTCACCGAAAATAAGGGATAACTTGAGAGGAACACTTCTGTGCCTTGCCTTTTTCCCTTTGCATCTGTACCTGAGAGCCCAAACCTGAAGCCATTCTGCGCCCACATGAGTAATGTCTAGTATCTCTCTGCCAGGCTAGTTAACCTGACTCTGTTTTACCTCAATCCAATTTCTACTCCACTGACCTTCAGAATGAGACTCTGACATGTTATATCAGAAGTCATTTAGTACTAAACAAAAATAATAGTTTCGTTGTTTTGGTCATACGGAGTCATAAATGTATCTTCAATAAGACAGGCTTTTGGGAGAGGGGTACAAAATGAGAAAGTCTTTGTAATTAGAATCCTTCACTAAATGAAGACATGGAAATCACTTCAAAGAAAAATTTAAGAAGAAAAAAAGCTCAATGACCTGAAATGCCAATACATTTTCTTGTTTGTCTTTCTTCTACAGGCATCTTAGGTTCTTCAAAGAAATCTATGTTGATAATATTTCTAACGACCTTAAATCAGGGTTCTCATACTTGGCATAACATATACCTACCTGGCAGTGTATTAAAAATGCAGACTCCTGGACCTCATCATCAGATACTTTTAACACATGAAATGAGGTCTGGAAAACTATTTTAAATAAGTTCTCCAGGCCATTTTGACACAAATCTCTTTTCCACCCTCCTGCCGCTGAGAAAATGCTGCCTAGATGAGATCTCATCACTACTGCCACCATTTTTTAAAAATCTTAATGAAAATACAGACACAGACATTTAGGGAACAATGAGTCAATCTTAGAGTAAGGGGCTCAGTCATCTGTAATTTAAAACATGTCTCCAAAGCTGATTCTAACAGCAATGGTCCTAAAGGGACAAAACAAGGTCCAACAGTAACTAAATCACACCTAAGACTCTTGCTAAAAACAAGAACTCTGGAGTATGATTCCAAAATTAAAAAGTCAAACTTTGGCAAGTCTAGGAATATGCATTTTTAACACACTTTCCAGTAATTCTTAAGATTCTTAATACTTTCTAAAGTTTGATAATCAATGACCAACAAACTCAATAGTTTCTTGATCTTTTCTAAGCATCAATCTTAACTTCCATTCCTTTCTGAAAATCTTCCATATTCATACCTTGGGTCTTATCACCCAGAATTCTTTTATTTCTAAAATTTTGTACTATGAATTTTCCCCAAACCACACCATCTGTCCATCTATCTCTCCCTTCAGCCTGGTTTTTGTCCTCACATTCTCCAGTTTCTTGCCTCTCCATTACTGTCAACTCTATTGACCCTGTCTTACTTGCACTTCCTTTACTAGTACCTTCCCTTATACCAGATCCCATGATGAACTACTTAAGTCACTCCTTTTATTACCTTCACTTCTCCCCTCGCTTTTTTTTTTTTTGAGATGGAGTTTCGCTCTTGTGGCCCAGGCTGGCAATGGTGTCATCTCGGCTCACTGCAACCTCCACATCCCAGGTTCAAGTGATTGTTCTGCCTCAGCCTCCCAAGTAGCTGAGATTACAGGTGTGCACCACCATGCCCGGCTCATTTTTGTATTATTAGTAGAGACAAGGTTTCACCATGTTGGCCAGGCTGGTCTTGAACTCCTGACCTCAGGTGATCCACCTGCCTCAGCCTCCCAAAGTGCTAGGATTACAGGCGTGAGCCACCAGGCCCGACCCTCCCCACACTTTTTGTCAGTATTTCCTTATGAATCCTAAGCCTGATATCTATTTTTCACCTGTCTCAAGATTTAGGAACCACCACATCTGAAAATAAGTGAGCTCTATCTACCTTCTCTCAACTCTAATAGCATTTCACATATGTTCCTTAATAAATCCTTATTTTCTATCCTATATTATGGTTATTTTGCATATCCTATCTCCTCTAGATCACATGCACTTTGCAAATAAGATCTGTGTGCAATTTATGTTGGTTTCTCTCCCAAGGTATTGGGCTTAACGTTGTAGTAACATCTGAAAACTTCCTCCCAACAGTAAAAGCTTCACGCCATTTTTTATTTGTGGGTTAACTTAACAAGTAGTTATGAAGAGTAACTGTTAGTGAAACCCTGTCTCTACAAAAAATACAAAAATTAGCCAGGCATGTTGGCATATTCCTGTAGTACCAGTTACTAGGGAGGCTGAGGTGGGAGGATCACTTGAGCCCAGGAGGTCGAGGCTGCAGTGAGCCGTGATCTTGTCATTGCACTCTCAGCCTGGGCAATAAAGGTGAGACCCTATCTCAAACAAAAACAAAAACAAAAACAAAAACAAACAGTAATTATTTCATACGAAGTTGTTATATGCCTACTGGGAGTATTAAAGAGTGTCTGACCCAAACCTAACGTCCTATCACCACTTGGATGTCAACATACATTAAAATTGCTTCCCAGAAATAATTTCAATGTAATGACAAGGGCTAGATCAATGAACATATATGCCTTGACAAAGGAAGAGAAGAACAATGTAATATGTAAGATGCCTTCTGCTATGGCATCTCTAGTAAAATAAGAAAATAATAATGAGAAGGTGTCCTTTTCATTAATGGTAGCCTTGCTTACCCTAGGGGGACAGAAAGAAAGTTCCCTGAAAGTGCTGTACTTTGATCCTACTTGTAAAGCTTCCCTTTATGAGTTTTACCCTAATCAATGTTTCCTGTTCACCTTTCAAAGCATATAACTTTGCCCGTTAAGTCAATGAGGACTATACCACCATTAGCCAATATCTATATATGCTTTTCATGAAAACATGCTAAGCTTCATAAAGCTGTGTAAACTCTTTCTTTTGTCTATGAAGGAAATAATAAAAGCCAGAACTATGGGGGCAAAAACTCTATTATACTGACCACTTCACACTAATGAATTTTAGGAAAAGATAAAGCACTAAAAATTAGAGATCACATTCTCAATCTTGGAAATGCTAGTTAAAAACAAATAGTTAGACCTATATACAAAAATATATACACACAACGAAAATTTTAAATGTAAAAAATAAGGAGTTTTGTTAGTTTATGAGGGTATCAGTCCCTTTAAAGTTTCTTATAGGTGTTACTTTTAAAAATAATTTTTAAAAGTCATTTGTATACAGCTTTATTTGAAGATTAATACATGTTCATAGTAGAAAAAATAATATGCAGGTAAGACTAAAAACCTACCTGTAACTGCAACATTCAAAGATAAATGTATTATCAGCAAATATAGAAAGACATGTACATAAATACATCTACACATATATTTTATGAAAATAAGATAATATTATAGTCCTAATAACATTCTTTTGTCACCTTTGAATCATTAACACATAATGGCGGCACAATATTTTACCTGTCGGCTGCACAGAAAGAGCTAAAAAATAAATAAAGTAACTGCTACACATTCAGATTTCCTGTCATGGACAGGCAAACAGACATCACTTAAATTTCCTGAAGGAAAAAAAAATAATCTTTTGAGAAATGTTACTTCAATTTTATAAATCAGGAAGCTGAGGCTTAAGGAGGTTAATAACTTACACAAACTCACCAGTAAATAAATGATATGGTCAAGATTAGAGCTAATGTATGTAATTCCAAAGCTCATAGCCCTTCCATTACAATGCTGCCTCAGCTTCCTCAAGCGTACAATGAATTTGCCTATAATATTATAGTAGGTAAGGTGACCATGGAATAAAATAATTAATGAGAAAATACCTTGAAAACCCACAAAGGACTACTGCAGAGATCTAAGGGACTATTACAGTGCCCTCACCTGGAATACAGGCAAAACATACTGTAAGGCTTTGGCACTGAACTGTCACCTTATATAATGTTGACTGATGTTTATACTTCCGTATTAGATAAAGACAATATGGGGAATAATATCAAACCTTTTGTAATTAGAACTTAATTTTTAATATTTTTTTATTCCTAATTACTTTGTTTGTAGAGACAGGGTCTCATTATGTTGCCAAGGCTGGCTTCAAGCGATCCTCCCACCTCAGCCTCAGAACTCAATTTTTAAACTTCTAAAAATGTATTTTATTTTTAAAATTGACATAACTGTACATATTTATAAGATACACAGCGGTGTTTTGATGCATACAATGTATAGTAATTAGATCAGGGTGAGTGGCACATCTATCATCTCAAACACTTACCATTTCTTTGTTAGAGCATTCAATATCCTCCTTTTAGTTATTTATCTTTAAAACATTTTAAAGAGAACGTTTTACATTTCAAGTAGCTTTGAAACCTATACCAAGTCTATACCATTTTAATTGGCATGAGACTATACAATTAGATTGACATTATAAAAACTGTGATTTTAGCCACACTGTCAAAAAGAATGCTCTGAATTCAGAACCATTATTTGAAATGCATACTCATTACATTTTTTAGGAATAGTGGACATTTAGAGTCTTTTTCTTGCAACAGGCATCGTGAAAGATGTCTAAATTATTTTTTAAATTAAATTTATGTCCAACATACCTTGCCCCTAGCACTACCACAAAAGTTTGAAAATAAAAAAACTTTATTATTTTAATTTGTAAGTGTGTGATTTAAATTTATAAGCAATTTTACCTTATCCTGTAAAACCTGAGTCTAATTTTGTTTATTTTCACAAGGATAGGATGTGAATTAGAAGAATAAAGCTGCTGGGGTTTAGGCTTCTGAAGAAAGAGAAGATAAACACTATTAGTTGTTAAGACTAAGTTTTCTTCTACTCCATTTTTTGCCTCTTCCCTGTTGCATGTTTAAATTCATGGCAACTTCTTCCAATAAACATGTATTAGATATCCAAGGTTTTTAAACTGAGAAGAAGAAGAAGAAAATTCTTTTAACACTTGGTAGGACACTGAAAGCCACAGTTAACATATGGCAAATAGTGTCAAATCACATTCAAAACAACTTGACTAAAAAGTAGAATTAAAATGAGATTTTTAAATAACTATACTGAAGTCCAAATATTATATAATTACCTGTACTTACCTTAAATTTTCATTAAACCTTACTGTAGCTGCACAGTGGAATATAATATTTGTAGAATCTACGATCACCTCTTTATCTTCTTCACTAAGAGCCAGTTTAGGTTGGGTGAGTTCGCTGTTGATTGCTATAATTTTCTCTCTAAAATCTGGATTTTCATCTCTCAATCTGTCAAAGAGCTATCAAAGGGGAAAAATATTTTAGGGCAGTATTTTTCCACTTTCTAACACTCCTTATCACCATTTTTTCCCACCAAGGATAACTGTTTTTTTAGAAACTTAAACTATGCAATTCCTAAAGTTGCTATTCTTAATGGCTATTATTCTGTATAGAAAACACCCTATGAGTCCTACACTATCATCCCCATTTTGCAGATAAGGAATCTGAGACTCAGAGAAGTTAAGGAGTTTGCTAAGTACATAAAGCTGGTAGTTCAGAGTTGAATTTGAACTGTCCATGCCTTGGCTGATTAGATTGTATCACCCCTCAGAATAGACTTCAGCAACAGACATCAGGACAATGTTTAAAATGATCATTCAGATTTCTAAAATCTAGATCTTAATTTTTCACTTCACTTCATTTTTATTTTATTCCCTTTTGGTAGATTAGAGAAAAACATGATTTACATTCTACCTAAAATTTTAGAACAAATTTTTAAAAAGGAAAACAAAGTCAACATGTTAAAGGAAAAAGTTGGTAAGCAAATGCAAACTAGAAACTGAACAAACCTCGGAAGTATTACATATACAGTATTTAAGCTGCAAATTCAACATTCTTTAAGTGTACCCAAAGGAATAAATTTTGCTAGACAATCAGATCACAAAATGATTACAGTTTAAAGGCATATTCGATTGTGAGTCAAGTTAAACTTTTTATCCCAGATTTGACAGAGGAACACTGATGCTACCTCCAGGTCACTGCACTAACACATTTGAAGTTCATACTTGAAGTTTAATGGGAGTCTTAACTTAAGGAGAAAGACAAATAACATATCAGTGCTCACTTTTACCTTCCTGGATGACTTTAGTATATAACAGTCTTCCCGCTCCTACTGATAGATTCTACTGCTACTTCCACTGCTAGCACATGACTTGAATATTAATGTATTCTTATATTAATAAAAACTTACTATTTCATACGAGCCAGGCAGGAACCTTCTAGATTCTAAAGACACAACGAAATGGCCTTTGGTCCAAGTAAATGTACAATTAAAATATAGTGTTCTAAGTAATAACAGGTAAGTGTTATGGGCCTGCATAGGAGAAACAACTAACCCAGCTTTGAAGGAACACACACAAGCTGGCTTCTCAGAGAAAATGACACTTAACAGAATGTGTGTGTGTGTGTGTGGGGTATGTGTGTGAGTTAGGGACAAAAGTGAGGGAGGAAGGCCCTGAAATTGCAAAGTAGAATAATAGTGTTTCTAGGCAGAGGAAGTAGTATGTATAACCCCTTAGAAATCAGAAGGCATTAACATGCTTGGGAAATTAAAAATAATTCAGTCAGCCTAGAACATAGAGTATGCAGGAAAAAGCGGCCAGAGTTGTATGGAGATAAGAAAGGCCAGATAACTGTGTCTTTTAAGCCACGTTAAAAAGATGAATTTTATTTGGGAGTAATGGTGAGCTATTGATAGATTTTTTTTTTTTGAGATGGGAGTCTCGCTCTGTTGCCCAGGCTTGAGTGCAGTGGTGCGATCTTGGCTCACTGCAAGCTCCACCTTCCAGGTTGACACCATTCTCCTGCCTCAGCCTCCTGAGGAGCTAGGACTACAGGCACTTGCCACCACACCCAGCTAATTTTTCTTTATTTTTAGTAGAGACTGGGTTTCACCATGTTAGCCAGGATGGTATTGATCTCCTGACCTCATGATGCCCCCCGCCTCGGTCTCCCAAAGTGCTGGGATTACAGGCGTGAGCCACCACGTCTGGCCGCTATTGATAGATTTTAAGCAGAGAGGTGATACAAGCATGTTCATAATTTTTAAAAAATCCTTTGGCAGTAATGAGTTTTAGGACACTCTTGTGGTTACCCATATCAAGATATTTACTGGTCTGAATCAAAATAATGGCAATGAAAGATTCAGGATGGAACATTCAGGATTTTGGCCAAAGACTGGATTTGAGAGATAAGGAATGCAAACTTCATTAGGATAGGGTTCATATCTATTTTGCTCAGCATACAAGTCCAAGAGAGCAGATCTTGCCTGGCAAGATAAATACTTTAAACATCTGTTAAGTGAATAAATTCAGTAGACTGAGGAACACAGGGAGAGAAAGAAGTACTGTTTTGGAGATACAAATTCAGTCTTGTAACTGTCAAGTGTAAAATGACTACATGACACCCCAGAAGACAGGTCTAGTAGAGGTGACTGGCTTTGTGGGTCTAAGTTCAGGGAGAGAGCTAGACTATCAATATAGATTTTATTAACCACATACAAGTCGTAACTGAAGCCCGGGGAATAGGAAAGAGTTTATCCAGGTAGCAGCAATAATAACTACCCAAGATCCTAACTATATGAAACTAAATCCAAATCTAATTTAAAGGACATCCATTCATCTCACATAAAACAGAGGGAGGCTGAGTAACCATCTCACTGGACCTAGTAAGATATCAAGGCCTAAGCCTGAAACTTGAAGAATATCAATCCTTATAGGGCAAGCAGAGGAAAAGTAACCTAAGGAACGACTAAAAAAGTACTTTTTAACACCCTGAAGTCATATTTCTTCATTCTCCTGATTGCTGATGACCTTTAATTCCCTTTAATATCAGCTATCTATACCACTACCACGAGGACATGATCATGTTGCTCTTAAATTTGCTAGATCTTAAATGTGATATTCTTCCCTTCTTTAGCCAACATCTCTTTACTCAATACTATCTTTTCTGGTGCTTTCAACCCACTAGTACCCAATTAGTTCCTACTTTACTAAGTTTACGAATGCCTTTTTAATATCCTTGATTCTCTTTCCTGAATTTACTTCATGATCACTACTTCATTTTAGTTTTTATTTTTTTGAGACAGGGTCTCACTCATTACCCATGCTGGAGTGCAGTGGCACAATCTCGGATCACTGCAACCTCCGCCTCCCAGGTTCCAGCGATCCTCCCACCTTAGCCTCCTGAGTAGCTGGGACCACAGGCATGTACCACCTTGCCCAGCTAATTTTTGCATTTTTCAGTAGAGATAGGGTTTCTCCATATTGGCCAGGCTGGTCTCGAACTCCTGGCCTCCAGTGATCCACCAGCCTTGGCCTCTCAAAGTGCTGGGATTATAGGCATGAGCCACTGTGAGCAGCTATGATCAATTATTTTAATTCAATCTTCATCACCCAATGGAGTTTCTGTTACCTGAGACATTCCCGTAAGTCAGTGGTTCTCAACCAGGGGTGATTTTGGTCCCCAACAGACATTTGGTGATGTCTAAAAACATTTTGGTTGTCACAAGAGGGAGTGAGGCCAGGAATGCTGCTGATAACCCTATAATGCATAGAATAGGCCTCCAGAACAAAGAACTAGCCAGCCCAAAATGTCAATGGTACTGAAGCTGAGAAACCCTACTATAAGTCAATGTCCCATATGGTGGTATGTGCTCTTGGAATTATGTTCTTTATTCCTATTTCAAATCAGGTAGACCATACCTAAAATTTCCTACTAACTTTAAGTGCACATGCACTGCTATCTGACATAAAAAGGGCTCATTTTTATGGACTCCACCAGCAATGCTATACATAATGAAGAATACATGGCTTTAGGATTAAGTGGTAGGATATGCCAGGAGGTAACTGAAGGCATAAGATAAAATTACATAATTTCATAAAGTATCAAGTTTAGTCAAATATTTTGGGAAAAAACTTTTTTTATATTGAAAATAACAGCTGTATGTTCAGGCTAAACCACTGAAGTTCAATGAAACCTCAGGCTCTAAGTAGAAAATATTCCTTTTCTTAGGCTTGGTGCGGAAGAAATTTTAGAAGCACTGCTCTAAAGACCCTGAAGAAGATGCCCAAGTCTTCTTCATGTTTTACTCAGACCCTCAATTCTGGCCAGCACATCAACTTAAGTATCTGTTCCTATCTCCTCCTGACACAACTATCACTTCTTCTTCCTTCCCTCTTCCCTCTTAAAAACTGTCTAAAAGGCCAGGAACGTATCTTACTTATCCCTGAATTCAACCCCCTGCAACAAGTCAAACCCCCAGGACTAAACAGGCACAATAAATATCATCTAAAAAATAAAAAGTGAGTCAGAACAAATAACCCCTCACAGCGGGGAGAGGAATATTAGGAGAAAAATTAAAACATACCAATTACAAGAGGTTCATAATAAAAATGCCAAGATGAGTAAACAAAGGGCAAAGGGCAGAGACAGCAACAAAACACACATGTAGACATTTTACTTAGAACAAGTCTTGTGGTTTTATAGCCCCATTGATGACTCCTTCCTTGTAGGTTTTAAGTGAAGCAAAGGATTCCAGAAGGGTTCAGCAAAGAATCAGAGAGAAAAAATGATTAAGGGAGACTAATGTCGACTAATTTGAATAATTTCAAAGTATAATAATAAATTTTAAACTTCTAAGAAAGAATCTTACATCCCATCATTAAAAAATAAAACCAACATAATGAGGAATATCTGTTGCATGGTGTCAAACAAATGCTAATGGGATATGACAATTAATTCCGAAGAACTATCATAAAGGTATATGAAGTTCATTCAAAGTCAAAACTCTAGTTGGTTGCTATGAAGAGGGTTGCTACAGTTTCAGGATTTTTTAAGAGGCCTATAAGAATGTAGATATTCAAATGAGTGTTATTCTAATTATAAAAGAAATGTTCTACTTGAAATTCCTTTTTGAGCTATGCCTGCAGTCAGATTCCTTATGTGTACCAAAATTGAGCTTATAGCTTTCCAATTCAACTTATTATTTATTAGTAAATGCCAGATAAATTCATTCACTTTGAGAGAATTCACCAACTTACGATAGTGAAATAATTTTACTCCAGCTCATTTCCGTTCTCTCTTATAATATTTTTCCCAAGGCTCAAAATGTTTGACATATTCTTATATTCTATATGGCCCCTCTGTCATCTATCAAATGGGAATATGTGACTTCTCTACCTCCTAATACTGTTGTGAGGGAGTAAGTGGTGTTTATAAATTTTATCAAAGCACAGTGTCTCACAGAATAGTAGGCAGTCTCACCACCTAATTACTATTATTATCAAAAGACTAATTAAATTTACTAGTTACAAACAACCTCCCACAAATGTTCTAAAAACATACTTTAAATACCTACCATAAAGGTAATTTAGAGCTTGTTATACAATTTTGCCAGTCACAGAGGAAAACTTTTTCTCCTTGTGATTCACAAGTCATATCCAGTTTCTTGCCATCCTGTAGGAACTTACTAAATTTTTTTACCAATTTTTTCAGAATACGGAAGAAATATACTAAGCTACTGACGGTTACAATAATTACACACACAAGCACACACTTTTTTCTCCGTTCCGAGTGCTCATTTTCCATACTTACCTTGCCACTAAGGACTTCTTCCACTCGCTCTTGTGGTGTCTGTCCAGCTTTCTGCCTCACCAAAACATATACTGAATTCACCTTAGGACAAGACCTCAGCAACTTTTCCAGAAGCACCTTCCCTAGAAAACCGGTAGCTCCCGTGAGGAGGACATTCTTGCCTTCATAGTATTCTGGGATTGAAACCATTTTGATCCTAAGAAAAACATGGCAAATAAGCATTAGTTTAAGGATTCACCATCATTCTTACATACTAAAAATCTCTTGGTATTCAAATAAGTATTTTTAAAAGCAGGCAAGAGTCAAAATAGAACATTAACAAGAGAGGACTCTAACCTCTAGTTCAATATAGTAAAGTGGAAAGAAGAATGAGAACTATAGCTTATTTTAACCCTGTGTTTTACCCTTGTATCACCTCAGATAAGTCACTCACCTTCTCTGGACCTGAGTTTCTTTGGTACAATTTGTACTAAAGGATGTGTAAAAATTCCTTCCAGCAGTAAGAACCCAAATCTTCATTCAATCTCAGTTACACCCTAAACACAAATGAATGGTGTTTCTCTGACCCCAAAGGGATTTATAACACCAAATACAGGTCAGCAGCAAGACTCAATTACCTAGCTTGTGTAACACTGGAGGTGTCATATTCGCCTATCAACACCAACTGAAACAAGAAGAGGTAACACCAAGCCCTTTCTACTACGTGTCTCTTAGTGACAGTATATCCAAAAAGTGCTTAAATCTCCCTTTTTAAAAAGTTAGAGTAAGAAATACATGAGCTGACTTATCTTCCCTACCCAAATTCCACTGAAACAGCAGAAAAGATATATTAAGAAAACAAACCATAATGAAAGGAAAAATAAAAACAAGGTGAAGAATTCATGCATTATATCACTACAAAAAGCTCTAACACATTCAAAACAATGCTCTGTATTGTTTAGAAATGCATACAGATGGAAAAATATTAATAGATGCATGAGAGGGAGTGCAATACAACCAGAGACAGAATAAGGAGTTTGAATTGTATTTATGTTTTATTTAAGCTGGGGAGTAGATACATGTGATTTATGTCCAAATTTTTCATAATTAAAAAATATATATATTCCCATTAACAACCTGGAAAAAATAGCTCCATTAAACCAAGCCAAACAAAAAGGAAGAAAGAAAAGAAACAGAAGAATTTCTAGAAGAAATAGATAAGACTGAATTGGTAGAATAGCCATACCAAAAGAAACAGCAACCCAAGCAAAACAAGCACAGGAAAGGACTATAACGAGGCAAGAGCTCTTTTTACCAGTCCCCTAAATGGAACCTGGGAGAAAACACCAAGGTCAGGATCCAGAAGCTGGACTAAAGCATAAGGAAATCAAGGTAATTAAAAGACTGTTCATAGAACAGCAGAGCTACTCATGACAGTCTTACTTTCTGCATAAACTTTGGCTCCCGGGCTTAGTATCTATATCTGATTGAGAACAGCATCCAGCATGGGTACCAGGGACAAAACAGAAGTGGAACTGATCCTGATGGTTGCTTCAAACCTCCACAATTGAAGGTGGGGAAGGCAGTGGATCAGGAGAGAGCTAACAAAAACTACCAAAAGAAAAAAGCATTTACAGCACTCAGAATACATTTTAGGTCCTCAGCCTCTGCTTCTGGCCTTAATGCAAGCTTGTCCAACCCGTGGCCCAGGATGGCTTTGAATGCAGCCCAACATAAATTCATAAACTTTCTTAAAACATCATTAGTTTTTTTTGTGATTTTCTGTTTGTTTTAGCTCATCAGCTGTCATGAGTGTCAGTGTAGTTTATGTGTGGCCCAAGACAATTCTTCTTCTTCCAATGCGGCCCAGGGAAGCCAAAAGCTTGGATACCCCCACCTAAAGGGAAACTCATGGAGAGCTCTCAACCATACCATCTGTGGAAAAGCTCTTTTGAGGAAATAGACCTCAAAAAACTAAAGGAAGCCAGTATCAGCTACCAAAACCAACCACCCTATTCCATTATAAATACGAATAGATAACCACAGATCACCAGATATTTTAAAAAAAAAAACCTACAAAATAAAGAAAGACCAAAATGAAAAGCAATAGAACTACAAAGGAAACTAAGGTAAGGAAAAATGTTAAGAAAACTTAAATTCCTATATTCTCCAAGTTGTTCACAAGACTGCTGCATCCATAATTACTAAAAAAGGAAACAAATAATATGAAAGCACTTAGAAATTGGAAATTCAGGTGTAAGTACAAAATCCAATAAATAAATAGACTATTAAAATTAATAGCCCCCAAGTGAATTTAAGAAGGTCACCAGATTAAAGGTTTATATGGAGAAAAAATGTCTTTCTATATACCAACAACAAATAGTGAAAAATTTTAAACTCAAAATTACACCACTTAAAACACTACAAAACACCAAAATTACAGAAAAAAGTAAGTGTTGGTGAAGACGTACAAAAATTAGAACAATCATACACTGTTGGTGGGACTGTAAAATGGCTCAGCTCCTGTGGAAAAACGTCTGGCAGTTCCTTAAAAAGTTAAACGGAATTATAGTATGATCCTGCAATTCCACTCCTAGGTAAACACACCAAAAAACTGAAACCAGTACTCAAACAAGTTGACACATGTTTGTAAGGTTAATTATCCCCTATCCGAAATGCTTTGGACCAGAAGTATTTCATAGTTCAGATTTTTTTCAAATTTGGAATATTTGCATTATGCTTACTGGTTGAACATCCCCAGTATCTGAACATCTGAACATCTGAAATCTGGAAGCATTTCCTTTGAGCATCATGTTGGTGCTTAAAAGTTTTTCTTTTGGATAAAGAGTCTCACTTTGTCGCCCAGGCTAGAGTACAGTGACGCGATCTCGGCTCACTGCAACCTCCACTTCCTGGGTTCAAGTGAGTCTCCCGCCTCAGCCTCCGAGTAGCTGTGACTACAGGTGCCCGTCACCATGCCCAGATAATTTTTGTATTTTTAGTAGAGATGGGGTTTCTCCATGTTGGCCAGGCTGGTCTTGAACTCCTGACCTCAAGTGATCCACCCACTTTGGCTTCCCAAAGTGCTAGGATTACCGGCATGAGCCACTGCACCCCGCCAAAAGTTTTGAATTTTGGAGCATTGTGAATTTCATATTTTTTGATTAGGGACATTCAATCTATAGCAGCACTGCTCACAATAGCCAAATGGCACAAATAACTCACATGTCAATCAGCAAATGAATAAACAAGTTCTGGTATATACATACAACAGAATACTACCGAGCCATAAAAAAGAACAAAGTTCTGATACTTACTACAGTATGGATGAACCTCAAAAACATATCAAGTGAAAGAAGTCGGACACCAAAGGTCACATATTGTGTGACTCCTTTCATATGAAATATCCAAAACAGATAAATCTACAGAGACAGAATGCAAATTGGTAGTTGCCTGTGCCTGTGGCATATGGGAATAGAGAGTATAGAGAAACTGCTAAAGGAGTTTTACTTTCAAATGATGAAATATTTTGGAATTAGATAGAGGTGGCAGTTGCACAACACTGAATGTACTAAATGCGACAGAATTGCTCACTTTAATGGTGCTATGATTTGAATGTGTCCCCTCCAAAAATCAGTTTTTGCCAATGTGATACTATTAAGAGGAGGGTTAAGAGGTGATAAGGGCAGGAGGGCTCCTTCCTCATCAATGGGATTAAGGGCCTCATAAAAGTGGCTTCACTCAACATTGGGCTACTTTGCTCTCTTGCTTTTCTTTTGCCTTCTGCCAGGTGAGGACACAACGTTCCTTCCCCCTGTAGGGTTCAACAACAACGTGCCATCTTAGAAGCAGGCAGCAGCTCTCACCAGATAACCAAAACAATTGGTTCATTTTGATCTTGAACTTCCCAGCCACCAGAATGGTGAGAAATAAATTTCTGTTCTTTATAGATTACCCAGTCTAAGATATTTTGTTATAGCAGCACAAAACAGATGGAGACAAATGGTTATTTTATATTATATGAATCTCATCTCAATAAATTATTTTTAAAAAAACCATCAAGAATTGGAAAGGGATAGAAAAGATATATAAGACCTCTATTCTAAAACCTACTAAATACTGACAGAAATTAAACAATACCTAAATAAGTGGAGACATATACTATATTCCTAGATTGGAAGACGGAAGATGTCAATTTACCATCCTTAGAGTCAATATAATCCCAATCAAAATCTATGCTGTTTTTTTAATATAGAAACTGAGATTTTAAAATGTTTATGGAAATACAAAGAGCCAAGATTAGCCAAGACAAACATAAAGAACAAAGATGGAGAACTTACATTACCACATATTGAGATGTATTATAGAGTTACAGAAATGTAGTATTGGGACAAGAAGAGAATGGTGCAGAGTCAATTATCCATATAGAAAGAATGAAATTTTGACCTCTATCTCACACTATACACAGAAATTCAGATAAGCTGGAGATCTAAATGTGAAAGGTAAAACAATTATGTTTCTACAAGATTACAGAGGAGGACCATTTCCATGACTTTCATGTAGTCATTTCTTAAATAGAATATAAAAAGGAAAATATTGCTAAACTGGACAAAACTAAAATTACATTTATCCCAAGACATTAACAATAAAGAGAAAACGCAAACCAGAGTAAAAGATATTTGTAATCTATATATAATGAAAACATTAATATCCAGAATACATAAATATGTAAATTCCAAATCAATAAGAGATAAACCAATAGAAAAATGGGCAAGGTTTGAACAAACAAGGAAGAGTATACAAATGGGCATTACAAAAGAGGATCGGGCCAGGAGCGGTGGCTCACACCCGTAATCCCAGCACTTTGGGAGGTCACGGGTCAGGAGTTCAGAGACCAACATGGTGAAACTCTGTCTCTACTAAAAATACAAAAATTAGCTGGGCGTGGTGGCACACGCCTTTAATCCCAGCTACTTGGGAGGCTGAGGCAGGAGAATTGCTTGAGCCCGGGAGACAGAGGTTGCAGTGAGCCAAGATCGTGCCACTGCACTCCTGCCTGGCCGACAGAGCAAGACTCTGTCTCAAAAAAAAAAAAAAAAAAAAAAAAGGATCGAAATGACCAATTAGCACATGAAAAGGGGCTCAACTTTATTAGTTACTGAGTTAAAACCCCTATGTGATCCCACTTCACTGACCCTCAGAATAAGGGTGCAGAAT